GGCGGAAATGTTGAGGTTTATAGAAAAGGGGAAAAAAGGCAAGAGTTGGAGGCTTGCATGGCTGGGGGTTTGTAACAGCTGGCATAGTAGGTCATCTTGATTGGGTCATGGTTGATCATTATCTCATGTCTGGTTCTATAAAGCTCTTTGAAAAGTCATCACCAGCTTAAACAGATGATTGGTTCCCATTATGAGATGATTGCTCCTGCTAGGAGAGGCAGCCTCAGTTCCCTCATGGAGTAATTGTTCCCACTTAGAGGGGGCCATCTCATCATTTGTGATCTGTTCTGTGAGGCTGGCCATTGCTAAGGGGTACTTTGGTCCCTTGTCATGAAAATGTTTATCAACCAGTCCTATTGTTTCTGAAATCCAAAGTAACTATAGAAGAAAGTGACTCAGAAGTGTGTGTGTATGTGTGTGTGTGTGTGTGTGTGTGTGTGTGTGTGTGTGTGTGTGTGGACTAAAAAGGCAAACTGAGTCAGAGAGGGAAAAAATGGAGTTGGTTATGTCAGTGACTGGGGCTTCCTTTACTCAGATAGAAAGCAATAGATCAAGGCCAGGACTCTTCCTCAGGTAGGGTAATTAGAGAAAGCATGGTGCCGTATGAAAGCAGGAATCAGGAGAAAAGCATTTCAGCTATGAGAACTCTCTGTGCAAAGGCCCTGCACAGGTGTTGGAGAAACAGAAAGYAGAGTGATAAAAGTGAGGTTATGAAGAAAAGAGTAGTAATAACGAGGTTGATGTGGCTAAGATGGGCAGGGCAGCCTTTGAGAGCCATAGGAAGGAATTTGGTGTTATCCTAGAAGAAGAGGAAAGATCTTTAGGAGCTTTAATTAGGGGAAGGAGAGGCACGGCCTGACTTCTGTTCAGCAAGAGGATGTAATAGAGAGTAAGATCAGCAAGGAGCTACCACAGTCATTCTAGCAAATAGTGGACAAGAAGAGAAGAAGGAAAACATCAAACTTTTTTTAAAAAAGAAGATCAATGTCCACAAGGTACATGTTAGGTTTGAATCAAGACTTCTAACCTTGCTGGGCGTGGTAGCGCATGCCTATAATCCCAGTGACTCAGAAATTCAAAACCAACCTCAGCAACTTAGTGAGGCCCTGTCTCAAAGTAAAATTTAAAAAGGGCTGGGGATGTGGCTCAGTGATTGAGTGATCCTGGGTTCAATCCTTGGTACCAAAAAAAGAATTCTTATCTTGAGGTTAGAGGTATAGCTCAGTGGTGGAGAGCTTGTTTAGCAGATGTTTGAGGTCCTGAGTTCCACCCCTAGAAAGAAGAAGGAAAAGAAGAAAATTCCTATTTTGATTTGTCCTTTTACCACCCTTATAGTACACCATGGGATTTCCCATCCCAGCTCAGGGGAGCACTATGGCTGGTACCTCCTCTTTGCTGGATTGGCCCATGGGGAAGACACTGTTTTTTGGAGACTCTCCAGGGAAGATGCCCACCTGCCTCTTCTGGCACTTCCAGCAGGACTGGGAAGAGGTTACCATTCCAGGAAAGGCTTAGTTTCTGTGTCTTCCTGCCTAACTGATTCAGAGTGTGTTGACACTGCAACCGACTGAGATACCCACTTACTCACCTTCACTGCCCAAAGCAGGGCCCCAGAGACTCTGGAGGCAATTCCAGCTTCCCAGTGCCCCTCCCACCATAAATCAGGAGATAGAAAAAAAAAATCAGAATCAGGACTGAGGGAAGGGTTGCCACTCAGAGCTTCAACCACCCTCCAGGGATGCTGCTATATGAGGCAAGATCTTGAGCTTGAACATTTACAGGTAGCACTCACGATTGAAAACTGATTTATAGTCTGAAGGCTGCAGGAGGGAGCAGGAGGAAGGTGGGGAGCTCTGTGTACAGTGCAGCCTTGTGGGGCGGTGGTAATTATATATTACATTGAACTGTCCTTGCAGCATGGTGAAGGGCAGTGGGAATGAGACTCTAAATCATGCTTCCCTGATGCTCCCCATAGCTCACGTCTCTGTGATGTGGCCCCAGAGCCCAGGCTGACACTTCTTCAGGCCACAAACACTCTCTCTCTCTCTCTCTCTCTCTCTCTCTCTCTCTCTCTCTCACACACACACACACACACACACACACACACATACACACACTCACTGCCTGCCTGCCTGACTGGGGACCCAGAGAGCAGGGAGAGGGGATGTTATCAATTCTGGCAGCTTCCAGGAGCTGCTCATCCTACAGGCCTCATTGTTTACCTGCCCCCTCTCTCAACATATCCCACTCTCTACCTCCCTTTTTCCACTGGGATGTAAACGAGGCTGTGTCATTTGCAGAAGACATCCCTGTCCTCCATTTGTTCACCCTTGCAGCATCTCTTTCTCCATAGCACAGCCACAGCCTTGGGTCATTTGAGGCCTCATCCACTTCCAAGGACATCACCATCTTAGTGCTGGGGATGGAACCCAGGGCCTCTGGAATGCTAAGCAAGGCTCTGTCACTGAATGACTGCCCTAGCCTGCTTTATCCCTTTTTACTTGCATTTTTTTTAATTTTTTTTTTTTTAGTTGTAGATGGACACAGTACCTTTATTTTATTTATTTATTTTTATGTGGTGCTGAGGATCAAACCCAGTGCCTCACACATACTAGGCAAGCACTTTACCACTGAGCCACAACCCCAGCCCTCACCTGCATTTGTGTCACCGTCTCCTAACTGGTCTCCTTTACATTGTTGCCATAGCAATATCTCTAAATACACATCTCCCCATAATCTTAATCTTATTTGTCTGGGAATTCCAGGAGTGACAAGAGATGACCAAACTTTGATGTGAAAGTCCCTAGAGGTAATTTAAATTTAGCTTCTCTCAGAAGTCTCCCCAGGTCTTTGCAGGTTGGTCATTACTGATTCACCTCCTACCCTTAKCTAGTCTCCCGGAGAGGAACACTGATATTCATCTTTCTTAAGTGGCCCTTTCCTTAGTACCTGGACTTCCCACAATCCCCTTTTCCTCCCTCCAGATGAAGGTGATTAGTGCTTAGTGATGATGAGAAAGGGATCTGGGGTCAGACAGATGTGGATTTGAATTCTGGCCCCTCAATAGCGTGCAGCCAAACTGCTTAAATTCAGATCTTGGCTGTGCTTTTCTTTTTATTTGTTTGGTACAGGGATTGAACTCTGGGGCACTCAACCACTGAGCCACATCCTCAGCCCTATTTTGTATTTTATTTAGAGACAGGGACTCACTGAGTTGCTTAGTGCCTCACCTTTGCTGAGGCTGGCTTTGAACCTGCGATCCTCCTGTCTCAGACTCCCAAGCCACTAGGATTACAGGCATGCGCCACCACACCCAGCCTGTGTTATTCTTTAGTTTGGTTAGGGCAAGTGATTTAAACTCTGTGAGGTTTTGCCATTTCTTTCCTTTTTTTTKGGGGGGTGGGGGGTTGCTAAGGATTGAACCCAGGGGCATTCTACAACTGAGATACACCCTCAGCCTTTTAAACTTTTTTATTTTGAGGCAGGATCTTGCTAAATTGCTCAGGCCGGCCTCACACTTGCTATCCTCCTGCCTCAGCCTCCTGGATAGCTGGAGTTACAGGCATGTATCACCACATCTGACTTAAAAATTTTTTTTTTCAGTATTAGGTTTCAAACCCAGCAACTCACACATGTTAAGAAAGCATTCTACCACTAAGCCACATCCTGACCGCAGTTTCCCCATGAGGCTAACAATATTACTTATCTTCTAGGGTTGTTGAGCAAATTCAGTGAGTGAATATAAGTAATTGTCCCTGCCCATACAACATCTTTGTGTTTCTGAGCTATTATTATTATTGTAATTCAACCTCTGAACCTCTTAATACCTGTTTCATCCCCTTAATACCTGTTTCATAGGCAGTATTCATAATACTGCCTCAGAGTTGTTGGGAAGATCAAATGACTCATTCCCTTTGGAAACTCAAAGGCTTTGCAAATGGAATTTATTGTTATTATTGTGGTGCTGGGGAATCTAACACAGTGCCAAGAGCATGCTAGAAAAGTTCTCTACCACTAAGCTACACCCCCGTCTTATTATTTATTCTTTGGTTCTTACTCCCTGGGATTCTCAGGGTTGGGGCAGGAGGTCACATTCTTTCTACAACACAGCTGCTACTTTCATCTTTCTCCACCAGCCGCAAGGCAGAAATTCATGGAGTCCTAGAGACGGGAGCAGCCTTGGATGTCCTGGGTTCCTCTTCCACCCAGAGTAAAGGGTATATAAGGCTGCTCAGACAGACACATCTCTGATAGAGATGATTTCAAAGGAGGGCTGCTAATGAGACTAAAAACAGAGAGCTTGTCAGCATCTTCCACAATTATCTCCTTCATTACAAARGCAGACCCAAATTTTGTGGGGCTCAAAGATTGAGGGAACAATTTAGGGAACTCTCTTTAAGAAAAAGAACACAGATTATGAACATGAGATCAAGTGCAGGCTTTGGAAGTGGCAAATGAGGTGTGCCATGAAGCTTCATTAGCTTCTTAGAAAATCTACTTCTGGGCTGGGGCTGTGGTTCAGTGTTAGAGATTGCCTTGCATGCGTGAGGCACTGGGTTCAATCCTCAGCATCACATAAAAAATAAAATGAATAAATAAAAATAAAGATTAAAAAAAAACTCCTACCACTGTGCCAGGTGGGCATTTGATAAAGACTTGTTAGTATTTGCATATGCCCGAAACAAACCATTTCCACCAGCTACAGATAGGTTAAGATTTCCAGAGGACTGGAGTGGGCTACAGACATCCTCTACTCACACTTTGAAAATTACCTCATTGCTAACTTCACCTCACCCTGCACTGGTTTCATCTCAGGCTAACTGTTCATTTTAAAGACTCAGAAGCTATTTATTTTTGCTTTCAACAAATTTGCACGTGATTTACATAGTATTAATATTCACCCTCTGGGGCTGGAGATGTGGCTCAGCGGTAGCGCGCTCGCCTGGCATGCGTGCGGCCCGGGTTCGATCCTCAGCACCACATACCAACAAAGATGTTGTGTCCGCCGAGAACTAAAAAAAAAATAAATATTAAAAATTCTCTCTCTCTCTCTCTCTCTCTCTCTCTCTCCCCCCCTCTCTCTCTCTCTCTTTAAAAAAAAAAAAAATTCACCCTCATGTTTGGGAACATTTCCTTTGCCCTGCTTAAGCTGGATTCCTGAGACTTAGTTACCAAGTGAGACATAACTTTCTCACTTCCTGAAATGTAGAGGGAAACAACGATACATTTAAAGAGACGAGGATGACATTTGTCTTAGAGTCATTTGCTAAAGTCTCTGGCCTACTCAAATTATCCTGCTCCACATATTTCTCTGCCCCATCCCCAACCTCTTCCTGTCCCAGTTTTCTTCTATTAAGAAGTTAGAAATGCACATTCTCAAAGACACACATGCCTACCTAAATGCTGGACTTCCTGAAGTCAGGAGGCACATGACATCAAGATGCTAGTGGACAAGAACACACAGGGGTTCTTCCTCAGATCATTCCCAGGGAGAATCATTCCCTTCCACCCCCAAGTCTCCTAGCACAGTTTGGAGGTCCCATTTATATGATTCCCCTAACTGGCAGAAACAGATGGCTGGTGGGAGTATGTATGAGTGTGTGTGTGTGTGTATGTGTGTGTGTATGTGTATGTGTGCATGCACACGCACACACACATATACACGTGAGCCATACACACGTATAAGGAGTGTGCACATATGTGTGAGACAGTGAATGCCCACGTGTACATTAGTATACCCATGGAGACAGGCAGAGGAGGTGGAGGTGAGGATGTGGGCAGGAAGGTCTCAGTCTAAGAAAAGTACATTATGGTTCTAAATGTCACCAAAGGTGAAACTTGCTTCCCCAGCCCGTCCTATAATGGGAAGAAGAAAGAAGCTAGCAAGGCAAGAAAAGGTCTTAGGGCAGGCATGAGGTGAAGCTGCCAGGGTCACCAACAGTTCTAGCAATGACCTCACTCTCACAGATCCCTCCCCTGAGGTGGTGAGTCACCAGAGCCCAATCAATACTGCATTCCATTTGTCTATGCTGTCTTTATGAGCCAATTCCTGCTTTCCTCTTCTAAGTGGCCCTTGACCCAATTCCCCCTAAGGAGCCTGAGGTACCCCAGCCTCTGGCTAAGCTTTCCTTTAAGCCTCTATCAGAGAAGCCAGAAACCTTTGCTTCTGCATGAGGCAGAAACACAAATGAGAAGAGAAAGAAAACAGAAAGAGACTCTCCTGAAAAATGAGAATGAAAACAGGGAGTGAGAAGAGAAAAAAGAACCAGGGAGGGTTTGGAGAAGAGAGGTGGGGTGAGGTGAAGCTGATAGCTGGGACTTTCCCTTCTCAGGATCTTAGAATTGCTACGGCATTTTCCTGACCCTTCAATTTTGGGTCCTTGAGAACTAGTATATAGGAGGAGGCTCAATAAGCCAAACCAGCTGCCTCTGAAGAGGACCCACGGTGTCTCTGCTATCACCTATTTACTCTACAATGGCTGGGCTTGATCCCACCCTCCTTGTCAGTGTTGAGGTTTGGAAGGATTAGAAAGGGTGTGGGGAGGGCATGGGTAAAGAGCAAGAGGCATAAAAGGGAAGGCAGTATCCACTGGCACAGATCTTTTTTTTTTTTTTTTCCCTCCCTCTTGGGGCCTCAGTTTTTTCCAAAGACCTTGGCACCTGCCCAACCATTGTTCCTTCTGGCCTGGTGCTTGTGCTCAATGGCAGCCTGAACGTCATTTCTTGCCACTGACAGGAATCAGAACAGGGGCTCCTTTATCTGATAGTGAGAGGGATTCTGCCCAGTTTCTGTGACTCTAATCTCCCAAGATGCTGTTTGTTCCCAGCATAAAGTGAGCGCCCTGAGGAAATGAAAGCCTTTATTTCTATGTCTGAGTCAACAAGATGGCACCAGAGTGGGAAGGCTAAGCGCTCATGAGACTGAGACAGCTTATGGTGGAGATCCTGCCTGGGAATTTTCTCCCCTACACACTGTGGCTGAATGCCTTTACAAACAGGAAAGTCTGGTCTCCAATGCCTATTTCATAATTCTTCCACCAGCATCAGCATCAATAATGCTGATACTGATAATAGTAATAGTAACCATTTACTGAGTGCCTAACATGCCAGAGTCCTTAGTAAGTGTTCTTTCTCTTTTTGGTGGTGTTGGGGATAAAATCTAAGACCTCCTGCATAGTAGGCAAGTGTTCTACCACTGAGCAACATCCCCAGTTCCTGTACTTTATTTAATCCTGTAATAACACTATGGGATAATCACCTTTGTGGAAATTGGAGGAAGAAATTGAGGATTCCAGAAGTTGCCCAAAATTTCCCAGCTTGAGATGCAACCTAGCCAGGCACAGTGACACAAGCCTGTAATCCCAGTAACTGGGGAGGCTTAGACGGGATATCACAAATTCTAGGCCAACCTTGGCAAATTAACAAGACTCTGTCTCATAAATAAAAAAAAATAAAAAAGGAATGGGGCTGTGGCTCCATGGTAAAGCATCCATAGGCTCAATCCTCAGTATCACCAAAAATAAAAAATACAAAGGAGTGGGGAGGTAGCTAACTAGTAAAAGCAGGCAAGGGTTAAATCCCCAGTACAAAAAAATAAAATAAAATAATAATAATAAAAGAGTAGAATAAGATGGAAAACTACCAGGTCCTTTAGGAAACTAGCAATAGAAGCAAAGATGGAAAAAAAAAAAATAACTCCTTTTCCACCAGACCATGTGCACCTGGCAGGCTGGTGCTGTTGTTTACCCACAGGATAGTCTCTTGAGGTAGACACAGCCTTCATTTCTAGATCCTGTGTCCCCCAGTGAAGGGAATCTATTCCAGATCTTTGAAGTACCCCAGGTATTTCTCAATAAGCTCAGTTAAAATTGCTGTTATGGGAGACTGGAGTTGTGGCTCAGTGGTAGAGCCTCACCTAGCACATGTGAGGCCCTGGGTTCAATCCTCAACACCACATAAAAATAATTAAATAAAATAAAGATATTGTGTCCAACTACAACCAAAAAATAAATATTAAAAAAATTGCTGATATGGCATGGAGGTCAAACCAGAGCCACCTCCTGACTGCCATCTAAGGTCACTTTCAAAGGGGATGTTCTGGAACTCTACAAGAAGATACTCATATGGACCAGATATTCCCCTGAAAGTCTGTGAACAGATTGAGGAGAAATCTGCCTAGGGAAAAGAGGAACTGGATAATGACAGTTGAATGTGCTTGCCCAGGGAAGAATAGTGGACACTGAGGGACAAAGAGTGAGAAACAGGGAGACAGACAAAGTAACAAAGAGCAATATCTTCCTTTCCCCTGGAGTCTGGACATGGCAACAAGAAAGTGGCTTTAGGCATAATTTAGGACAACTCTTCTCTTTTAAATATAAGGAAGTTGGGGTTCCAAGAGTAGATAGAAACTGCCCAGGAATACACTGCTCCCCCATCAGTGTCTGGAGCAACGAGAAGAGTTCTTGCCCTGTCATCTTCTTTAGAGCAAGAGGACAGAAGGGAAGGGTCACAACTTCAACTATCCCCACCCACTATCCACCCCCTACAGGGACCTCAGGGGCTTTCATCTCTCATCTGTGAAACATGCCAGGTCCATTGGGCCCTCATCAATAAAATGAGGAGGAGGATATCTGCTCTTCTTCCTTGAAGAGCTGTTGTGAGGATCAGCATGGAGAAGAACTTCAGAAGCACAGAGTGTTATTAACTTTGTGATTAGACCAGGTCAGGAGGGCTGCATGAATAATGGGAGGATTCATGCCCTCAATGTAGGAAGGAGGGGGTCTGCCCTGTCCTCTTCTTTCGGTTACCTGCCCTGAGAGAAGGCATTTGGTGTTTCCAAATTGACTTAAATAAGAAATGTGTGGTGGCAGCAGCCGTCCCTCACTCAGCCTTCACTTGCCCAAGGCAGAGAGATTTTAATTTTCAAGCCATAATGAGAAAAAGAAACTCGGAATTAAAGAATATTCCAGTGAAGCAGTCAAAGTAGCTGCCCAAATGCTGAATCAAAGGGAGAAATATAAATTAAAATTTCCTTCTCACTCTCTCCCACCAACTGAGCTTGAGGAATCATAACTGAGCTACTGGCAAAGAACCTTGGGACCCTGCCCCTGAGGTCAGATGGGCAGGGAGGCCCACTGTGCCCACCCCAGGGTGCTCACAGCACAATAAGGAACAGAGACTCATTCACCTATTCACAGGAGGGATTTATCTCTATCAAGGTTGGCATCCCTGGGCCATGACCCTCCTGAATGAGATCAAGCTCTGAATTTTGAATTCAGGGAGTTGGGTGACTCCTTTTCCCCTCTGACTGGTCCCTGGAGGCTGAGATGCTGCTGCCTAGTTTTGTTTCCTTTCTGCCAATCAGGTACCATCTTCCCTAATTCAGGCCAGGGGTGCTGGGAGTTGGGGGACACTGYCTGAATAAAAGGGAGCACCTGAAACCTCAGCTCACTTTCTTCTAAGCTAGTCTGTTCCTAAGGGAGCACCCTTGCACCCTTGGGCTTTCTTTTTTTGGGGGTGGGGGGTGGGTACTAGGTATTGAACCCAGGAACACTTTGCCACTGAGTTACATCCTCAGTCCTTTTTAAATTTTTTAAATATATTTTTTGGTTGTCGATGGACACAATACCTTTATTTTATTTATTTATTTTTATCTGGGCTAAGGATTGAACCCAGTGCCTCACATGTGCTAGGCAAGCACTCTACCACTGAGCTATACCCGCAACCCCATTTTTAAATTTTGAGACATGATCTTACTAAGTTGCTCAGGGTCTCACTAATTTGCTGAGGCTGTTCACCAATTTGCAATCCTCCTGCCTAAGGCTTCTGAGTAGCTGGGATTTTATCCACCTTTGCTCCTCCTCCTCCTCCTTCTTCTCCTGCCTCCCCTTTCCTGTTTTGTGGTATTAGAGATTGAACCCACTGAGCTACATCCCCAGTCCTTCCATTTTGAGACCTGGTCTCATTGAGTTGCTCAGGTTGGCCTCAAACTTGTAAACTTCCTTCCCAGTCTCCCCAAAAACTGGGATTGCAGGCTTGCAGCACTCCTTACTTTTTATAGTGTAGCAGTCAAGCTGTCTAGCCTCAGTAACTTTTAGTTTACTCATCTGCAAAATGGGGATGATAATACTTGCTTTTTAGGATTGTTGTAAATATTAAGTAAGATAATCATGGTCAACTTCTTAGAACAGTGCCTCACATATGGTAAACATTCATTAAGGACCAGTTAATATTATTTGAAGTGTCCTAATGATAGTGCTGACATTTATTCCCTGTATTGAGTATTCACCCTGAGCCAGGCAGGATATTATACATATAGAAATGACTCAACTGTAACCCTTGTCCTAAGGAATTCACAATCTATTAGAGGTGACAAATGTCTAAACAGACCACTGAAAAAGTGTGATCACTGCCATCATCACTCTAAGAGCTGTCATTTTCTGA